CTCAGTTGTTGTCCGACTCGTCCTCGGCTTCCCGGAGCCAGGTGAAAAACGCTGTCACTGATTTGAGGGCCACCCCTTTGCCCTGCTGCTCGGCTGCGTCCTTGCTCGACTCCCACTTGTAGAAGGCCTCCTCTTTGATGACGTCCTCGTCGTAGAGGGCATCGAAGAACATCCTCAGCAGGTCTGGGCGGGGGGGACAAAGGAGAACCCTGCTATTGCCCAGCCGCCAGCAGAGCTGGGGGGGGGACACGCCTGACACCCCTCTCCCAGGCCTCCTGGTTGTCCCCGTGCCATGCACAACACTCACTCGGAGGCTGGTCCAACTTCACCACCAAGGCCTGCAGGGCGTAGAGTGCCTGGAGCTCCTTCTGCTCGTCCCGCATGTACTTCTGCAGCAGCTTGGCCCGGCTGCGGATGACCTGGGCGTCCACGCGGTACGGGTTCTCGACTGCAGGAGAGGAGCGTGAGAGGGGGGCAGGCAGCGCGCACGCGTGTCCCCACCGCGGCCCCCTACTCACAGACTATGGCCGAGTGGCACACGGACGTCATCAGCGCCCTGATAAACGTGTTGGATGAGACCTGCTGCTCACTCAGGTTGGCCTGAAGGAGGGAACAGAGGGGGCCCGTGAGGGGAGGACAGAGCCAGGAAGACCCTCCCACACCCACAGGAGCCCTGCCCATGCTCTCACCTCGATCCAGTCGTATATTCTTTGGTTGTTTGAGTTCTCCTTCAGCAGTTTGTCCATTTGCTTGCACAGCTCCTCCGAGGTCAGCTCCTTGCGGCTCGGCGTGTCCGAGCTGTCTCCCATGGTGTACTCCAATTTCTGGGGGACCAGGGAGAGAGGAGCTGCTTAAGGCAAAGTCTGGGAGCACATGCTCCTGGCAGCAGGGTCTCCACATAGCTTCTCTCTGCCTCTCACCACAGTCAAGCTCTCACCTGCTCCGTGACAAATTTGTTGACATCCTGGTCCTCAGGCAGGAATTCCTTCCAGCTCAGGCCTCCATCCCGCCACAGCTTTCCTGCTTTTTTCTGGCTCTGTAAGGCAGCCAGTGTCAGCACCCTGGTGCCGTGGTCCCCACTGGAAGCGCTGCTCCCCACCCAGGCAGGAGATGCTGCAGCCCGAGTGCGGCACCGCGGGGACCGAGCACAGCAAGGGACACCCAGGTCTAGACACTGTCACGCTCTCCAGCTACAAAGTGCTTTGAACCCCGTGTGCCAACCTGCTGCCTAAAGAGGGGGACAGGGAGCCCACAGCAGGGTTGCCAGTCCAAGGCAGAGGCGCCAGGTATGGGAGCCCCACACACACTTACCATCCCCTTGCACAACAAGCCCAGAACCTCAACCAGCAGCGTGGTGGCCTTCCCGATGGGCACCAAGGGCTTTGTTATCTCCCTACAGGGCACAAGCAACAGGATTAAAATTCCTGCCCCAAAGATTCAGCTCTGAGATCCCCTTCCAGCCCTGCCAAGGGGCACTGCCCTCACCTGAAGAGCTCCTCCATGGGAATGCCTTCCTCGTGCAGGATGGGTGTGATGAGCTCAGCCAGGTACAGCCAGATATGGGGGATGTCGATCTCCATGTCTTCTGCAATCTCCAGGATCTCCCGGAGCCTGCAGGGCAGAGGCAGGGTTGGGCTTGGGATCGAGCAGGGAGCCCCAGCCTTGGGCAGCAGAATAGGTAGCCCCCACAGCCTCAGCTCAACCAGGACTGAATTCAAAACTAGGGCAGGTTACCCAGCCAAACTTTGAGCATCCCTAGGACTGGAAATCACACACCCACCATGTGGGCATTTGGTTCCCCCTGCTCAACCTGTGCCCGTTGCCTCATGTCCCTTCACAGGCACCAGTGAGAAAGCACCGTCTAACTCACCATCAGGTAGCTGAAGGCAGCAGTAAGATCCTCCCTCTCTGCACGGGCACAAGCCCAGCTCCCTCAGCTTTGCATCCCTCCCGTGTCCCCCCCCACCACCAGGTTCAGTCATTTTCTCTTGTACTAGAGAGCCCAAAGCTGGACCCAGTAGCCAGCAACAGAGCTGGATGTTGAACACAGAGCATCGTCCCTTGCCCCGTTAGCTGTGCCCTTGCCAAGCAGCGCAGAGCGGGGGGCACCGCGGTCCCTCACCCTTTGTAGTACTGCTCCTTGGAGAGCGTGCCCGCCTTCACCAGCTGGAACAGCAGGACCCCCATGTGCTCGCGGGAAATGGTGCTCCTCTCCAGCGTGGACTCGATGCCGTTCCGCACAAACACATACAGCGAGGAGGGGCTGCCCAGCTCCTGCACGCACTGCAGGGCCTCCTGCAGGGACAGGGTGTCAGAGCTGCCCCATGGCCAGGCCCAGATCCCCCCTCCTCATCCAGGCGCTGCCAACATCCTGCCCAAAGTGCTGCTGCCTGGGGAAGGGGATGGGGTGCTATGGGGAGCACATGGCACGTGCCTGGCTGCCCCTTCCTCTCACCTTCATGTCGTTGATGTGCAGGTATTCCTCTATGATTGCCTTGGATTTCTTCTCAAGCTCTTCTTCTGATAGTGTGGGCTTGGGGGGTTCTGCAGGAGGGGCTGGCTCTTGCTTAGCTGCGAGCAGAGAAAAGGCATCAGGCTCTGCCTGGGACCCAGCCCACAGCCAGACACCAGCGAGCACCTTTGCTCCCAGACTCACTCGTCTCTCGGCTCCTGTCCCGCTCCTCCGACATGCTAGCAACCTTGCGCACGGCCTCGGGGCCGCCCTGCTTCTCCCGTTCCCGACTCCGGTCTTCTGTCTCTTTGCTGAAGCTCCTCTTGGTGAGGGCGGACCTGTTCCTCTCTCCTCGTTCCCCCCGGTCAGGGCGCTCCAGGCGGTCGCTGCCCTTTTCCGAACGCGACTCCCGGTCCCCTCTGTCCCCAGCCTTCTCTGACCGGTCGCGGCTGGAGCTGCTCCTAAGAGAGAGGACAACGTGAAGAAGCTCATCACCACCCTCCCTGACCTCGGAGAGGGGAGCTACACAAGGCAGGGCTGTCTCATCCCTAGAGGCACATGGGACAGTCCCAGTGACAAGCCAGGAGCTGCCCTTTAGAGCTGCAGCCAGGGACAGGGCCTTTGCGGGAGGATGGGCTCTAGCTGTCCAACTTCTCCTGCAGCACAGAGTACACCCAACTTTAAGGTGTTCTGGAAGCAGAAGGCCTAGGCGGCCAAGGAGAGCTGTTCTCTGGTCCCTGTTCCAGTATTTAATCACCCTCCAGGTGAAAATATTTTTCCCTGTATTTAAACAGAAATTCCCTCTTATGCCCACAGTCTCTTGCCCTGTTCCCCCTCTCTCTTCAAGACAACTCTGGCTCCTAGCTGCACACAGCACAAAGATCCCTCTTTGCCTCCTCCTCTCCCAGTTAAACAAACCCAACTTTGACTCTCCTCAGACATTCTGTGCTTCAGCCCTGACTATCCTCACAGCCTCCACAGGATTTGCTCCTGTCCATCAATCTCTCTCTTGTCCTGGGATCACCAAACTGGACATGGTGCCCAGATGCAGCCTCCTAAGTGCCAGGCAACAGGGTGAGAGCCCAGACCCTGCCCTGTCCTCAGGCAGCCCAGGGATCCTCCAACCAGGATCCCACAGCTCCTTCCTAACACAAAGGTTGGTTATCCCAGCCCAAATGCTGGGCTCCAGGCTTGTCTACTGCCCAACAAACTGCTCTCCAACTTAGGGATTTTCTCCTCAGCCTGCCAACACCCCAGCCCACCAAGCAGGTACCAGACAACCGCAGTCCAAGCCCTCCCCAGGGCCCGGGGCCGTGGCACTCACCTCTGCACCACGCGACGGGACTCCAGGCTCTCGGCAGGGGTGGACTGCTGGAGCGCTGAGAAGCGGTTCAAGGTGCTCGTGGCCGGTCGCCCTGAATCAGATGCTGGGTGTGAAAAGAGGGGAGTCTCAGAGCTCAGCACGTCCCCAAGAGAGGAGCTGCCTTGGAAAGGGTCCCCGCTCTGTCCCCTTACCGTGACGCTGAGCCAGCTCCACGCTGCCTACCTGAATCTGCAGGCTTCGCACCAGAGCCTCCGCTGCTGCCTTTGCCCCAGCTCAGCCGCCCGCCTGGCGCAAAGAGCTGGTTGTTGGAGTCGATTGATCCAGGCTACAGGGAGAGACACAGAGTTGGCTCCAAGCCCTACACTGAGGGAGGGGGGCACGACCCGGGCCAGGCAGCCAGCTCAGCCGCACACAAGCAGCCTCGGCACCCCCAGGAGCCGGGCTCACCTTGGTGATCTTTGTCAGCCGGCTGGTGTCGATGGGCCGGTTGCCCTTGCTGATGGGCACCGTGTTCCAGCCATCATCCGCGACCAGGCTCCCGCGTCCACCTGCACACAACGGGGACAGACGTAAGGAACAGTCCCACCAAAGGCAGCACCTCCACAGAGCCCGGGACTTTGAGAGCCCAGGGAAGAACCAGCCTCTGGGAGGCTCAGGTGTCCCCTAGCCCAGTCGCTCACTGCTGGAGGATGGTCCAGGGGGTCCTCTCCTCTTGTCCTTTGACATTAACTGCTGCACTTTAATGTGTTCCCGATGCTCTTCCATTTCTGCTTCCTTGTGGATCTGGTCAATGGTTTTGGGGCCCTGGTCTCCTCGCCGCGGCACCCAGCTATTCTGCAGAAGGCACAGGAAAAGAGAAGGGACACTGAGCCAGCTGGAGTGTTGGTCAGTGGAGACCATCTCCCAGGTGTGCCCTGATACCACACTCCACTTGTGGGGGCAAAAAGCTTAACACAGGGCTCCCCATTCCCCAGCTGTGCCCCCTCACAGCTGCAGGCTGGTCCCCCTGCTCAGGGCTACTCAGCCTGTACAGCTTCCTGAGCACTGTGGCAGCTTTTGGCACAGTAGGACTCAGTTTTTGGAGCCCTCCTGCATTAAACAGCTGCCAGTTACTGTGTGCCCCCTACTGCTGCCATGCTAACCAAGGGCTAGGGGCTAGCATGGTGTCTCTGGGGCTGCCACAAATTACATCCCCCTGCGTCCTTCTGTGTGGGGATGCAATGACACAGACTACTAGCACTTGGAGGACACAAGTCAGCAGCTCCACGGGGCCAAGCAGAGGACGAAGAACAGTCCCTGGGCAACAGCAGGCCATGCATCTTACCCGTCTGAGGTCAATCACATCCTGAAGCATGAAACGGATGCGGGATGATGTCTTCTTCTCTTTGATGATCTTCTCCATCTGGTTGAAGTACTGGTCCATCCTGGGCTGTAAGGGGATAGAGCCATGATCTAATCCCTCCCAGAGGCAAGGCAAAGCAAAACAAAGCAGGATAACGCAGCGCAAGGATACGATACCTTCGCTTTCTCGAAGTCCAAGTCCTTGCCAATGGTGGTAAGCAAGCGGCAAAGGCACTCAAGAGATTCTTCATCATGGTTTTTGAGCAGCTTCACCACACAATCATGCATGATGGCCTCCGTCAGCATCTTCAGTTTGAACAGCTCCCCAATGAACTTGATGTTGCCCAGGGATCGCCGGCGGGCCTTGTCCCGCGCCTCCTCCAGCTCGTCCTTCATGCGGGCCTTCTCCTCGGGCTGCACGGGGAGCACAACAGGGCAGGTCAGTCCGCAGAGCTGCGCTGAGGACTCTCACTGCAGCCTCAAACCATGGCCTCCCGACCCAACTCACAGCACTGGCATCGTCCATTTCCTTCTGCCGTTTCTCAAAGATCTCGTCGTCATCCTTGTCTTTCTCAAACTCCTTCTGACAGCGGTTGAGCAGCAGTTTGCGGAAGTTCACAGTCACCGTGGGTTTGTCTGTCGTGGGCACTTTGAGCTGCAGGGAGAAGTACAATCCAGGAAGGGAATATGAGTCACAAGCCTCCCCCAAAATAATGTAGGCAAAGTCCCAAGCACTGTTCAACCCAGGCAAAAGCCACCCTGCACCTAATGACTCCCCGCAAGGGCATCTGGCTCAACCTGCCAGCCACATGCTTCAGATTCCCCATCTTGGAGGCAGGTTCTGCACCCCCCTAGAGCTCAGCTAAAGTCCCCAAACATTTCTCGACAGCTCCAGGACCAGAGTAACCCCACAGCTCTTGCTCACCCCCATAAGGCAACGGCACATGTTAGCATAGGCAACAGAGAAGTTTGGCTCCGAGATGGCCTTCTCGAAGACGAGGTCGATGACACCCTTGAGCCGCTCCTCCGTGTCAATGGACAACTCCATCACCTGCTTCATCAGCTGCTGAAACATCTGGGGTGTCAGCTTGTTGAGGATGCTGCGGACGCGGCGGAGCAGTTCCTGGGAGGACAGCAGAGTTAGCGAGTTAGGCATCATCCCCTGAGCAGCGGGCACCAGTGGTGCTGCCTGCTTGTGCCAGCTCCCACCTGCGTCTTGATGTTCTCGGGATCCTCCTCCTCCGAGGCACGCTTGCTGCTGGGCTTCCAGGCCTTCTCAGCCTTGTTCAGCTTGACATCCTCATTGAGGGACACAGTGGCAATGATTTTGCGGGGCTCCTTCCTCTGGCTCTGCTGGGAGCGGCGGGGACCCAACCCTGAGGGCTGACACGGGGTGGGGGAACATCAGCCTTTTGCCCCATCTGCTCTCGGCGGGGCAACACCAGCCAGGCTGGCTCCTGGGGTGTCCCCGTCCGCCTGCTCAGATCCTCAACTCCATCATGGACATCAGTGGCCCAGACACAGTGGCTCGAAAGCATGATCATCACGGAGAGGCGGAGGGGGACAGCATGGGGTGCAGGAGACACCAGCAGATACTCACCAGGCCCCGGTTACCCATGACGGGCCGGCCGAGGTTGGCAAAGGAGGGGGTGAAGTCGGGGCTGCAGTTCATGCCGCTGAGGCGGATGGGGTCCAGCGCCCGCAAAGGCGTCTTGTTGGCCTGCGAAGGAACAAGACAGGGCTGAGGATGCCCAGGGGCAGGGAATGGTGCGTCCATTCCCCTGCCTTATCACCGGGACAAGGAAGCAGAAAAACAGCCTTGGCCGTGCCCAGAAGCAGGGCACGAGCACAGGCTGCCACCAGGGCTCTGCTCAGGCACAAGGCTCGCTGCAAAGGCTGCAGTGGGGCAGACAGAGGCCCTTGCCTTGCCAGAGCAGAGCTGAGGCACCAGCCCCCCTCCCCAGGCAGCACCCACGCTCCCCTATGCCCAGGACACCACCCACCTTGTCCAGCACCACGTCCATGATTTGGGGCAGTCCCTCGGGTTTCTGCATGCTGGCAAAGATGAACTGGAAACCCAGCAGGAACTCACGGTCATATCGCTTCTTCTCCTCAGGGTTCAGGGGCTTCCATTGCTCTGCAGATGGAAGGAAGAGAGAGACCTTGATATAGCTTGTCCCATTCTTTCTACCCTGAGCCATGGGGCCAACCTGGGCCTACATGGAGACCAGATCGTAAAAATTCCGGTGACCATGGAGCTGTGTTGCTCTGGCACGCCATGAATGCCACTCCTGCTCACTTAAACAGGGGTGGGAAGTCTGAGGCCACCAGTCCTGTCTTATCCAGGACCCCCAGGCTGGTCTCTGTCCCTGACCCCATGCCAGACTCAGGGAAAAGCCAGGAAGTGTGTGAGGTTTAGGAACGCTGGACAACACCATCCCCGCCACTGGGTCCAGAGGCAGCTGCTCCTAGCAGAGACCTCACAAGATGCCAAAGGAGGCTGCCACGTGGCCAAAACACAGCTCACCTTCCTTGTAGCGGTACTTCTGATCCGCAGCCTTGCCCTTCTCTGGGGCCAGCTTGTCCTCTTTTTCCTCCCACGTCTCCTCCGACTCCTCCTGGGGACGGGCTGGGGCTGTGTCCTCTGCTTCGCGGGCAGGGGCGGATGTAGGGGGCTTGTTCTCTGCCTCCGAGGCACTGTCACTGATCTGAGACTGCCATCAGGAGGAATGGGGACAGCGTCATGCCACAAGCCCAGCCTTGTCCCTTCTGCCCCAAGCCCAGGTGCCCTGCACCCCGCTCAGATCCTCATCACCATCACAGAGCATCAGTGGCCCAGACACGATGGCACAAAGCAGAGTTCATCACAACAAGGGTTGCAAGGTGGGGTGATGCTCCGGAGTCCCCAGGGACACTCACCTCTTTAAAGGCATCCAGCAAATCGCCTACTGCCTCCTTCTTGTTCAATTCCTTCATCCGTCGCTTTTTCTTTGGCACCGACACGGCGACTGGGAGGAGAGACAAGGACGTAGGGGCCAGGTAGCAACGCAGTCCCCCACACACCCTGACACCAGCTCCAGTGTCCCCAGGGAGGCACAGTAACACTGGGTGAACATGAGGACACGGCCAGTGGAAGCCTTGGAACATGGTCCCACTGCCCAAGGCCAGTCCCCTCTGAGCCCCAGCACTGTGTGCCCCTAACCCAGGGGACAGGTTGAACAGGCTGCCCAGAGAGGTTGTGGAGTCTCCTTCTCTGGAGATCTTCCAAACCTGCCTGGATGCCGACCTGCGCCACGTGCTCTAGTGTCCCTGCTGGAGCAGGGGGGCTGGACTAGATGATCCCTAGAGGTCCCTTCCAACCTCAGCCATCCTGTGATTCCAGCCCCGCTCAGCCCACGCACAGCCTGCAGACACACACTGCTGCCTGCAGCACCAGTGCCTTCCCTGAGCACCCCAAAACTGCACCCCGCGCCCCTGCCTTCTGCCAAGCGCCCCTTTCACAGAACCACCCCAGACAAACCTCTCCCACTTACACACTCATCCTCAGAGCTCCTGGGACCCTTCCTGGCACCCCGCATACCTCCTGGAGGCTCCCAGAGCCCCCCAGCACCCCCAGGCCACCCTCCTCTACCCGCTGCTTCCCCGCACAGGCTGTGCAGCACGGGCTCTGCACCCCCATCTCCCCCCGCCGCCCCAGCGCACCCCGTCTGCTCACTGCACCCCTACGCACACACGTACGTCCCCATGCATCTTTGCACGGTGATTCAAGGAGGATGTAACACCCAGTCCTCCCCAGGACACCACATTCTCTGCACAGGCCCTACCGATGGGCCCTGCATAGGGTGCCCCATACACGCACAGCCCCTCTGGCACTTTTCTCCCCCATCCACACATCCCTAGCGCACATCCCATTGCCCTGGCATGGCCCAAAACGCCTCAGGACGCCTCCCCACACACCACTCCAGCACCCCCACCCCACACACCTGATCCTACATAGACACACTCAGCCCATTCCCTGTCCTCCCACTGCAACATCCACATGTCCCAGAGCAACTCCCAAACCCCTGTGCAGCCCCCACACTCACAACATATTCTTGGGCAAGGTGCCCCATAAAAACATACTCCCCACACATCTCCCCCCATCCGACTAACCACAGGCACTCAGTCACCCACGATGTCACCTCACTTCCCCTCACCTCATATCCACACGCCCAAGGAATCTGTCTCGTTCCTCCTTATTCACCCTCCAGCCCCTGTTCCCGGCACCCCACAGAGCAGCCCCTATGCACGTGTCACCCCAAAACACCCCCGTGGGACCCCCCACGCTCCCCCTCCCCACGGCTCCGCACGTCCCAACCTGGCGCGGTCGCCTCCGAGGTCTGTGAAGGGGGAGGGGCCGGGCTCGAACTCCGCTCCTGGGCCTCAGCAGGGCCTTCGCTCTCCTCCTCCTCCTCCTCCTCCTCCGCCGGCGGCGAGCCGGGGATGTCCGGCTGGGCTGGCTCCTCGGGCCCCGCGATGGGGCTCACGGCCGC